AATATAGAACGAGATAGAAATAGAGGGTGAGAGAGATGAGGATAGCAAGGATGCTATATGAAGAAAGAGCTTAAGAAAGCAATAATAATAATAAATGTTTCTGAGGATGTTGAACCTCTATCTTAGCATATATCTACAATTATTTATAGAAAAATAGTATGTAAAACAAACTCCTATACGTAAATATTTTACTTGCATTACAACTTTATCAAAACTAACTATAAATTTAAAATAACCTAATCCATAAACATAAATATTCCTCTGAAGTTAACTAAAAGATAAATACTACAATTGTAATCCTTATCTATCACCTACTTCAAATACCTCCAATTCTGTTGCATGCAATTTGTCTTCCACTTAAATAATATAACTTCTCTTTTGTTCAAACTATATCCACGTCATTGACCATAGTACTACCAAACGTTCCATTTTAGCCCATTGCTCAATGCCCATGTAATTTACCAAAAGGGTGTCAACATTTTTACACACGAAAGAAAGAAAATCAACTGATGTGACAATCGATGATTGAGATAAACACACTTGAGGCGAATTCTATTCTTTTTAAATGATGATGAAAGAAAATCGATCAGTTTTACACTGTTAGGGTTCAATTGTTCTAAGTTATTTATGGTGTGTGAGTGTGTGTGTGTGAGAGAGAGAGAGAGCTAGCAATAATAATTGTAACTAGTAAAATACAATAACGTTCAAATAAGACATAAATTTTTATGTAATGATTCTGCAAAAAATAATTCAACAAAAATTGATAGGGTTTTATAATATAAGTAAAAATTTATATGTAAAATGCTCCAAATTAATCAAATTATCTTATAGTTTGTCATGTGTGTTTGTGTAAATGTATATATACACTTATATAGTGAGGACAGTTTGTTGAATACAGGATATCCATTGGTGAGGATTATGCCAATGTTACCCTTATCATCAATAGCAATTTGCAATTCACATTTTCACATAATGTCTCATATATATATATATATATATATATATATATATATATATGAGACATTATGTGAAAATGTGTGTATATATATATATATATATATCTCCTATGACCTAAGTTACTCAAGTCAATACAGAGAATTTGGGCTGGCATTGATTGGGACTGATCGAATGGATGTACCATTTCCGTTTTTTAAGGAAAGAAATTTGGCCGTGAGTGATTTTGATTTTTTTTTTTTTTTTTTTTTTCATTATTTCAATATATTTATAACATAACTCGAGCTCTCAACTTCTTCGAACTCTCTCCTATTAATTTGAATAAGAGAGATCGTATCAAATAAGGGTAGTGGTCCAACAATGGAGCTTGAAAATTGTGATCAAAGGTTTGTCATCGAACTCTATTTATTCTTGTAGCCCCCTCATATGGTACTACAATTAAACCTCTCTCTCACACACACATCTGTGTGTGTGTGTATATATATATATATATGTAACATAGTTTATGCATTTGCGAAAGTGGAACAGGAATACTTTTATAAGCGAACTACCAAAAAAGTGAATAAAGAAAAAAAAAATGGTTTTTAATAACAAAATCAATTTTGAATAAACCATGTTTGAGAAAAAATAATAATAATAATAATAAGCATATTCAGGGCCTGTATATCCTGAATATTCATAATCCAACTCTCTAATATTCCTTTGGAAAGAGAATTAATGAATCAGAATTGAATGCTTTGACCTTTATATATATATTTTAATAAATTTAATATACCATGTATGAGATGTAGATAAGAACAAAAGTAATTATAGAATAAGCTAGGGACAACTGAAGTGCTGACAATATATATATATATATATATATATATATATATATATAAAGAGACTTTAAATTTTGGTGGGTTGAAGAATAAAGGCATGGAGAATAAAGTGATTTTGGATAACTTAATAAAGGGGGTTCACTAGAATAAATTTTAGGAAATGAAATAAAAATTATACCTTGTATTTTTTAGTATTTAGTTGTCACTACTCTTTTGAATAATTTTATTTCATATAAATTGTATAATTTAATATTTATATCAATCTGTTAGCTATGAACGTCACATTTGGAGGAGCACCAGTACCAAGTAATAATCTCTTGGTGGTGACAAAGAAGCTTCAAATTGGGGCACAACAAGGTGACTCGGATCGTACGATTCTTCATAAATTTGGAAAAAAAAAAAATCGTACATAAAACATACGTATATGAAGAACGATCTGGAGAAGGTTGAAAATTCGAGTCGGTATTGGTGAGTGCATTTGATTAAAAAAAAAAAATTATAAATATTGTCACAATCTCACAGAGTGACTTAAGTTGTTTTATCTACCATTTGGCATCAAAATAAATTCTATACACGTTCATTTAATTGCAGTACAACGACAATGTCCGACAAAATGACCCATGTACAAATATCATTTCATGATCAAATTGATTCCTATCGGTTAGGTTGGTGTTTGGTTGTGTGACCTTTTTCTTTTCTTTTCTTTTCTTTTTTTATTTTTTACTATTATCTTTGTTTGCTTGTGTGTAACTGGGAATGCATATATATGTGGATGACAAACTTGTAATCTGTTCAATCAGGAACCACTTGATTCAACAAATCAGCTCACCAAAACTGGTTCTGATTCTAAATTTTTGGACCTCTGGGATGCGTAATGAAAGAAGGGGGAAATGTGTTTTCTAGATTCCTTATTTATTTTTTTCGAGAGTGATTCGAATTCACGTATACCCGCTTACTCGGATAACTGAGCATTACTTTTTATAACTTTTTTTTTATTAGCAAGAAACTTGCGGACTCAATGTTTAGCCCTATAAGAATTTAAACTATCAACATTTTATTTTGAAGGTGAAAAAGTACTACTAGACTACGATTTTTGGTATTAGTTGGACGGGGTATACCTTAAAAATAAAAAATAAAAATAAAAACATAACAAATTGGAGGATTAAATTAGGGTAAATTACACTGACCTCCCCTAAGATTTGGACAAATCTAACACAAGTGAAGCATTTCAGATTTATTGTTTTATCCCCCCTTGAGATTTGAGTGTATGTTCAACAAACCCCCTCTCCATCAAAACTTGTAAAAAAAATTTATAAAATGATCAAGTTGCCCTTACACTTATTTTTTTTAATTTATTTACAATATTTTTTTAGGAGAGGATAACAATGGTGGAGAGCAAAGAGATGAGATAGAAAATTGATTTTTTTTTTTAGATTTTATAATATATTTTGTAAAGTTAATTATATTTTTAAATATAATATATTTTGTATTATAAAAATATATTATATTTAAAAATATAATTAACTTTTTATAATTGTCAGAGCAATAAACTTCAAACAATTCATCCATATAAGATTTATCCAAACGTCATTAGTTTAATTTACTCATTAAATTATCAAGGAGTCCCGGTCACTCAATGGTGCCTAGGAACCGATTGGAAAATGTGGACCGTAGGGTGTTGTATGATTTTTAAGTCTTTTCTCCAGTAGAAGTCAGAGATTAAATATATCAAATACAGACTGACCATGTTTTAAATTATTTTTTTTTTTTTGAAAAAAAATAGTGTTTTATGGTAATTGGTTCATTCATAATTTGAAATTAGAGGGTTAAAAAAGGCATCTCTCATGTGATGAGTCTGAGAATGAAAATGCCAATGTCCCTAGTATTCCAATGGGACATCATTGTCGTCATCGAGTGCTAGTACCTTTTTACAATTTTACACGATACAACACGACAATGTTATGTGTCATGTAACTTATAAATACTGTAAGGACTTAATTGGCTCTAGTAAGTTTTTTCCCACACCTGTAATTCTAGCAGGTTCTGGAAAAGCTCACTCAACAAGTCACCTATTTTCAGCTCAACACTTCATCATCACTTTTGTATACACACACACACACACACACACACAGTCGCACACACTCTCTGCTTTATATAAACATTACATGGCAGAATTGTCTCTTCACTTCTAGCTAAATGCTTAGCTGACAAGATGTAACAAAATTGAATATAGTACTCCATACAGTAAAAATATAACTTCATGATGTATTAAATAGATATCACTTGTCAATTGTCGAACTTAAAATCAAGATTTAAGCATGATGTATAAAAGGTTATATATAGCTCCATAACTAAAATCCTGTGCAATGTTAAAACCTAAATGTCTTCACCAAGTTTTATTTTTTTATTTTTTGGTGGTAAGGATTTATTAATTTTTATAATAAAGTAATGTAATGAACGGGAAACTCGCACACTGAACGAATCATTTTAACACAAAAGGGTCATTGTCAGGAACGGAACCAATGAAGGGCCGGGACCCCTGGCCTTGCCCCACCCTCTATAATATAGTGTTAATTTTTTTAAAAAAAAATTCATATATATAAAAAAAATTATACAGTGCCCCCTATATATATATATATGTGTGTGTGAAAAAAATTATACAGTGCCCCCTATATATATATATATATATATTTTGTACGGTGTCCCCTACCTTGAAATCATGATTTCGTCCCTGGTCATTGTTCGTGTTACTTATAAATATATAGTAACAGACTACTTTCATTTTATAGAGGAAGCAATTTTGCAAATTATTTATAAAAAAAAAAAAAAAAATGAGTTTGTACTTAATTTTTCTTTGGTCTTAGTTTGTGTCAAGAAATTAAAAACCAGTTGAGGTGCTTTCTAAGAGCACAAAGTGAGAACCAATAACTATGCTTTCTTTTAATATGTGGCAGTATGTATATATATATATATATAATTACATACAAATGTGTGATGGTGAGTGGTGACCAAAGTTCTAATTATAGGCCAAGAAAGTTCACATTAATCACAAACCTTTGAAGTTCTAAGACAAGTTAATCATAGACTAAAATATATTCTGCAATATATATATATATATATATATATATATTCAAGGCCATTTCTTTTCAAGAATTCCTTCTTTCTCCTTTGTCCTCTCCACTCTCTGACACACACACACACACACACACACACACACACTGCTCTCCATATATGGCGTAAACTTGATGCCTAATAGTGCAAGCAAAGCAAGAACCCCACCTTTTTTTATCACCTTCTCTAAAACTCTCTGTATCATATAATCTGTATTTCTGTTTTTAAAAAAATAATCTGCTTTTTTTTTTTTTCTCTCTCCTCTCTCTCTCTGCCTTTTTGGTCCTCACTACTGCTATAAGCTCATATTTAGTGCTTCACTAGCTACCAAACCTCCATTGTCTCTCTCTCTCTCACCCCATTCCTTTCCCTTCTCTTATTCTTTCATCACCCACTTGCTACACTTAACTTAATTCAAAACCTCTCTTCTCTCTCTCTCTCTCCATTATCTTTGCCAAACACTGTCTTCTCTTACAGTTTTGTCTTTTGCTATCAAAGGTGTTTTAAGCTCAAGATTTTCAGAGAGATCAGATAATGTGAGTATCTCTTACAACACAACACAACACTGAAGAAGAAACATTTTTTTTTCCATCTTCATCTATCATTGTCTTTTTCAGGGGACTGTTTCTGATTCTTGACTCCCCTCTCTCTCTCTCTTCAACTTTTAGAGAGAGAAAGAGAGATCTATTTGGTCATATTGGTTCTTTCTTTGCTTTTGTTTTCTTCCCTCAAGAGTTGTGAGATAGTGAAATGAAAATGTTTCAAGTTTAGGTTGCTGTAGGGCTGGTCTTTGTCTTTTACAGTTCAACATAGCCCAAAAAAAAGGGACCAAAGCTTGTGTTTTTAGTTAATTAATCTATTAATTATGAGTGCTCACTTTGGGTATCCAACAATGTATGGATCAATCCATAAGCTCTAGTTCTATAGTTTGTTGCTTCCAGAAAAGTAGACAAAGTGTTGTGAAAACTAGCCTAATTTAATCATTTAGGCCTCTAATTATCTTCTTTTGGTCTCCAACCAAACAACACAAATAGAGAGAGGGTGTGTGTGTGAGAGAGATAGAGAGAGAGAAAGGGGGGTTGGGAAACAAGAAATGGAACTTTCAAGTGAAGAAGGGGTGATGCCAATACCAATTAACAGTTCATATGGTGGGGGACATGGACATGGTCATGGCCTAGGGCATGGGCACATGATCCATCATGATCCTGCACCCCACAATCACATTATTCCATCCTCAGCACCACCACCACCACCACCACAATTGCTCTCCAATATTGCTGCTCCCCCCATGCCCACAACCTTGGAGGACCATATGCCCTACAACAACAACAACAACAACAACAACAACAATAACAACAACAAGAAACTGCAGGCGGTGAGGTACAGGGAGTGTCTCAAGAATCATGCAGCTGCAATGGGTGGGAATGCCACAGATGGTTGTGGGGAGTTCATGCCCTCTGGACAAGAGGGTACCCTAGAAGCCCTAATCTGCTCAGCCTGCAACTGCCACAGAAACTTCCACAGAAAGGAGACAGGAGGAGGTCATGAGCTGCCCAACTCCTCCTCCTGTGACTACTACCACAGCCCACATCCCAGCAGGATCAATGTTGGGAGGAAAGTCATTCTGGGACACCACCACAAGAACATGTTGGGAGGCCCAGAGGCTCTAGGGTACCCTACAGGACTCCTCATCCCTTCTAGAGGAGCAGTTCCACACCACCACCATTCCTTAGTGTCCTACAACATTGGGGGGTCCCTGCCCTCAGAGTCTGATGAGCGGGATGATGGTGGAGTTGTGACTAGGCCTTACCAGCTGGTGAAGAAGAGGTTCAGGACAAAGTTTTCTCAGGAACAGAAGGACAAAATGCTCAACTTTGCAGAGAAAGTTGGGTGGAAGATTCAGAAGCAAGAGGAAGCTGTGGTTCAACAGTTCTGCCAAGAAATTGGTGTCAAAAGAAGAGTCCTCAAGGTCTGGATGCACAACAACAAGCACAATCTAGCCAAGAAGATCACTCCCACCAATGATCAAGATCAAATTTAGAAATTATTATTATTATTGTTGTTGTTGTTCTTTCTCTTTTATTTTATTTATATTTTTTTTAACTATTTTAATTTGTCTGAGTCTGTTCTTGGAGTTATTTTCTTAATAATAGTGGTGATGTAATGTAGTTAAGGGAAAATTGAGTTTGGTATGATTTGTGGGTGATATATGATGTTTCTTGTCCAATCCTTTTTAGGTAGAAATGGGTTGACATACACTATGAAGATCTCCTGTGTATGAATATTCTAATATATGGAAGAGCTTCTTGAATCTTAATTTTAGTCAAATCATTCTTTTTTTTTTTTCTGTTTTTTTTTTTTTGAACATAGAACACAATATTAGTATATCCCTTCTAATCAAATAATTACTGTTGGGTGTGAGAGTATTTTTTTTTTCTCCTTTTTAATCTAGACAATTAAATAGATCTACACAAACTTTCAACCTTCCAGCCACTTTACTTATTTTTTATTCGTAAGGGACTTTGAATCCTTAACTATCCTTTTTAAAAGATATTTAAACTTTAGTAATCGATATGAGAGCAAATTAACTTTTGAATGTATTCTTCTTCTCTTTTTTTTTTAAATAAAAAACATTGATTTAATCTACTTACTTGACTCATTGAAGTAATTTTTAAAACATTGATTTTTTTTTTTTTTTGAACATAGAACACAATATTAGTATGTCCCTTCTAATCAAACAATTACTGTTGGATGTGAGAGTATTTCTTTTCTTTTCTTTCTCCTTTTTAATTTAGACAATTAAATCGATCTACAAAAACTATCTGCCTTCCGACCACTTTACTTATTTTTATTCGTAAGGAATTTTGAATCTTTGACCATCCTTTTAAAAGATATCTCAACTTTAGTAATCGATACGAGAACAAATTCACTTTTGAATTTATTCTTCTTCTTTTTCTTTTTTTAATAAAAAACATTGATTTAATCTACTTACTTGACAAATTGAAGTAATTTAAAGACTTCCAAAATGCTAATAAAACACTACTAAGAAAAAGCTTTCCTTGAATTTTGGATCTCATTCTCAGCAAGGAATGGCCTCACACTGCTGTTGAAATGACAAAGTCTTTTGTCCCTACTGATGTTAACAGTATCCCTGTTGGTTAGGTGTGGTTCCTCTTCTTTCTTATAAAATTTATGTCTTCTCAATATTTTTTATTAATTAAAAAAAAAAAAAAACTAAACTTTGCTCAATCAGGCTTGGGCTCTTCTATATTTAACAATTTTATCACTAAATAATAATAGTATATTTTTTTTTTGAAAACATCAATCCGTGATTACGTGATAAAATAGAAACATTAAATTCATGTAGCGAACCCAAATAACCAAAACATAAAAAATCTTGGTTTGTTATTTTTGTTGTACCCCTGGTTATGAATAGTGATTTTCAGTTGATGATGATCTCGAATCAGTTTTTTTTCTTTTGTTGACCTTTATATTAGTCTGACTAAACAATTTTTTTCAAGAAAGAGAAGTTCACTTTAAGAAAGAAAAAGGTATGGAAGTGTACATGCAAAACTTTAATTTAAACCCAACATTATGTGATTCTCAAAATTTGTAAAGATGTACATATATATATATATATATACACACACACATATATATTTGTCAAACCATGAAAGTGCTATCATTTTATATGTATGTGTTTACATATATAGTCACTATTAAAAGAGCCTGTTTGTCCCCAGTGGGAACACAAAAGAGAAGGGGCAGATTTTAGTGTAATTATCAATAAACAGTCACACAAATAATAATAATCTGTTCCATCATCACACATGTTTCACTTTAAAAAGGTGGCTTAGCACAGCTCCATCAGGCTTAGAACTGTTTGTATTACTTTCACATGCATCTTAAATGTCTTCAATTTATGACACACATCAACCTAAAGTTGACCACAATAATAAGTTCCTACTCGAAAGAAAGAAAGAAAAGGACATTAAAACAACATCAATGATGTTTGCTAAATTGTGTGACATTTTATGCTTCTATCAATGTAACATACCTATCCTGGGCCTCGTCGACATAAATTAGTTGTCTCTCTCTCTCTCTCTCTCTCTCTCTCACACACACACACACACACACCCCTCACATAATCAAGCAGTGTAGCAATTCTTCATAGCCAAATTATGTTGAGAAAACAAGCAGTGCAGCAATTCTTCAGTGAACCCGGATCCACTCCTGTGTAGGAGATCTTGCGCCACTCATCGTGTGAAACAAGGATGTAAAATAATTGTTGCAATAGCAATATAAGTTGTTGCGTTAGCAATGTAAAAGCACAGGACAGACAAAGGAAAAAAAAAAGACACAGGAGAGGATCCGGATTAATTCTTCAGTATAGCCTAGGGCAGCTATGATATAATGTTTTTAGCATCCTGTTGCTGTGAAAACATAGGTGAAACCGGCACAAACTGCCAATGTATGTTAGGTTAGTACATCTGCTGAGACCAATTTGTATTACTGTAGTGTTCGAGGATAGTCCCTACCACTCTTCACATCAATCTCTCTCTCTCTCTCTCTCTCTCTGTTTGAATCTGAACTCAAAAGACTTTGTTTTAAAGTACCATTTTACCTTCAGGAAAATATATATATATATATATATATATATATAACAACCTGAGGTCGATCCAAGCCCAAACACTAATTTCTCAGCTCAACTAGCCAAATACAGCCAGTGTAGCAATTTTTCCCAAGCAAGCAAGTATTTAGCTATGCTACAATTTTCACCTGGTTCTAGAAAATTGTAGTCTCACTTTTCACCACTGCAAATTTTCAATGCGGGAGTATTGGTATCTTAGGGGGTAATTTGCCTTTCATTTAAGAGGCCTCTAAAATTCAGAACCATGAACTTCTGAGCCAAATTTAATATGTTAAAGAGGACAAATTGAACAGAGCTATGCTGGGCACTTAAATGACATATATGCCCACATGAAGATCAGATCGATTCGGTGAAGGGTGTGTGCTAGTAGGGTCATTCACATCTACAACTCCACAGCTGTATCAATGGACTACAAAAGGGGGACCACCACATGGGAGGCAGAGAGACTCCCTTAAAAGGACAGGCATGCTGTTACTCCAAAAAATCAAGTTGGGACCTATTTGCTAGAAATCATGATTGAAGAGGGAATTGGTTAATAGCAATAGTTTCTCTATAGTACAGCTTATAACTACAAGTCTCATGTAATTACCAAGAAAAAAGGGAGTCAACAACCAACATTTACTTCACCATCTATGTGTATTTTACTAAAAATCAAACAACCATCTATCTCTATAATTAGCATAATGATTGTACGGTTAGACACCGAGATAGATAGGAAATAGGATAAGGCTTTGTTAAGTATCCTACGCTTAAGACGATCCAAGACAATGAAATGACAGGAGTAATGTGTAACGCGTGTCCGTAATCAGAAACCAAATGGGCAGGAACAAGCATGAAATTTTGGTTCTTCGTTATATTAAATTACTCAAACATGGCTCTCAAGTTCCATCAGGAGAAATGAGTACCTCAGATTTTCTTCATGTATCTATGCTCTAAAACAGCTTACTGCAATTTTTCAATGTCCCTGTGCAATAAAAGATACATAAAGAAATCATTACCCCTACCAATATTCCCAGGTCGTCTATATATATATATGCTGACAAACCAAGCAGCCCCAAGAAAATTATGAAGGAAAAACAAAACCAATATAAACAAGAAAACAAAAATGAACTCTTTGTTCCAGAGTTTACTGTTACGCTTCACAGCTCTATGATAACTGCACTTTCCCCTTAGCTGAGCCAAAGCGTCATGCAGTCCTCTACATCAGATCACGTAGAGGCTAAGAGCATTAGTTTCTCAAGCAGAGAACCGATGGCAATCATAGTTCCATCACTTCATTGGTGCAATGCAAACCCTCCCTGTTACGTGCATGCTTTTGTGATCTTATCCATTAAATGTTCGAAGAATCAAAAGCAAGCTGAACGGCAGGCAAACCAGGCCCAAGTTTGTGTAGAAATGGTTGAGTGCAATCATATCATCTCAACTAACCAATTCACATAGACGAGCATGGCCAGGATTAAGAAGTGATTCAGACATCATCCATCCCTGCAAAAAATCCATACCAATTGAATGTTTGTTAAGAACAGAATAATCACTACAGATATATTGCAGTTAAGTGGCATTAGGCATTCCACTGGTGACTGTTCGATCTTACTTGAAAAGAAAAGAAAATAATATGAAAAAAATAGCACACTGATATACCCAACCATAAAAAAATTTGAGAAATATGCTTACAAACACAACTGCCTTAGTTACACAGTTCTTTTTAGAAGGAAAATTTACCATGCTTTTCAAGAAAGTGCTTCGACTATGATGTCCACACAAATTGAACAACAAATAGGTTTCATGATCAATGAGCCAATTGCACTTTGCACTTAAATGGTTAAAATACCCTTTGGTTTTCCTTACAAGCACACCAATACAATTCTAAGTTGAAAATAGTTAATTTCTCTTTTACTAGTGTGCACGCTGGTACAATTTACCCTGTCTAGAATATTTCTTCTCAGCTTTTTCATTATGTACAATTCTGAGTTGAAAATAACTAGTATGTACTTGTGAATAATTAAAACCCCTACCTTTTCTATGGCTTTGCTCTTGAATGGCCTATATAAAGCTGAGACCAGTTTATAAGATTCTGCAATACGAGCCTCAAGATTGACAAAGGTGGGCTTGAAAACTGAATGACTATCTTCTCGATACTTTCCTGACTGATGCTCATTCGATGAACGAATTATATGCAGGAGAACGTGGGCCTGTCGCACAATGTAAATTTAGCATAAACCAAAACTACAATATATTACTGGTGATATAACACAAAGAAATCAGAGGTCTCACATGAAAAGCTGCTTTCAATATGTCATCTGATTTTGCTTGATCCTTGAACAGAGCATATATATTTCCCTTAGATGGGTTATATGTCACTATATATCTCTCTTTCTGTATTCAAGATACGTATGTGAGGAAGAAGGGAGAACTAGTTGTGTGTGGGTGGGGGCAGGGTGGATGTGTGTGTGTCTCAGAGAGAGAGCAAGACACAGATTTCACATGTTATAACCATCTCCACTTAAAAACGGAGGCATACCTCAAAGACAGGCTGTACTGCAAGATACGAATTTGGGTCTTGGAATGCATCTTTAAATCTTGATCCTGTCAAACATTTACAATTAAAGAATGTAGAAACACTGTCAAATACATGAAAGTCGGGGAGGGGGAGGGGGGAAGGGTGGGGGGGCGCGCACCAAGAACAATAGGCCTGTGTTTTGACCATGGAAAACTGAATATATTTTCCATCATATTTCCCTCCTGCAAAGTCGGAACTCGACCTGAAAATGAATATACAGCAAAATCACGCCACCAATATCAGAAAAAGGACTTTCTTTTGTTTGTATATGAGACTTTACAAATCATGAGAATATCACCCAGTAAAATCATCTGCAATGGCTAAAAAAATTGCACAATAAGGTGAAGCATTCATCTAACCTGTCGTAAGAAAGGACTCTACTGCCACTGTGAATCTTGCCCTATTCAATGTATGCAACACAATAGATTTTACCTGGCAAAACACATTGATGATATAAGCAAACCATCAACAAAGAGAACTAACACTTTAAAATATAGAAACAAAAATAATTGTGTATAATACACTATCAAACCTCTTGGTAAGAGCTGAGAACATATCCACATGAGAGGAGGGCAAATGTGTTGACTAAAGAAGGATTTCTTTTTGCCATTATGATGCTCAATCCAGTTCCCAGCTTCGCATGAAAAGAAGTTTGCTGGAATTAGCTTGAACTGAAATGCATACTATGCATAAATATGTTATCATGGGGACTAGACCAATACAATACACATATGTGATGCATACCCAATTCTCAGCTCACTGATATGACCCTGAAGTCCCAAAGACAAAATATAAAATTGTAACGAACTTTCTTATCGTTTCTTTTTCTCCTTGGATGGATATTGTTGTAAAATATTTTACTGCATAGTGCAGAGGCTTAAAACTCAAATTTTGGCTCAGTTGACATTCTCTCTGTTCTTGTTGACCCTGCCATTCTCATTCTCCAGATTGTCTCCCTTCGGAGATCCCTTTCTTCTTTTATGATAATGATGATTTTTGTGCTTCTTAATAAAGGAAAGAAAAAATGGGAAACAAACTCTGTCTTTACTGTTCTATCGCCTTATTTTGGAGATCTGTTCACTCACCTGAGTGAGGAAAATTAGAAACACTCCGAAACACCCAAATTATTACATAAGACCAGGGCATCTCCCTGCCTAAAATTTCACAAAGACCATAATGTTCGATTTCCAAATATGAAACTCCCACGAAACCCCTATGGTGGGTTCCAGAAAACTCAATAGAATAATAGTTCATCATATTATAGAAAGGTGATACACCTAAACCAAACCCATCCCTCTAATTTTTTCCTTATTTCCCTTTAATTATCTTTTTATCGCATTCATAAACTCATTCTTCACCCTGAAATTGTAATACTATCCTCCTAATGCATAACCTACTTTAGGCAACCTTTCTGATCAAATAGCATCTTACTTCATGTTTAAAGTGATGTTCCCAATATTCAGTCCAATAAATTTGCAGTCAAGTCCATACCAAGCAAATAAGAATGATGCATACACACAAAAAGTATCCGTTATACCTAACAATAATAGGGCTACATTAAGTAAACTCCTTTTCCGATGCCGAAAAACAAATTACAAAATTTGAATTTCATAGATTATCCCTTCTGAAACCTTTTCAAATTAACAATGTAAATATTCAAATTGTGGATAATTTAGTGAGAAAATTCAGAGGGGGACACGCATGGCCCTTAAAAATTGAGATCTCCGAAGGGAAACTTATTTTAGAACAGAAGAATTATGAGTATGAAATTAATCCAGGCTAACAAGAACTTAGTGCACAGACAAACTAAATAATAGTAATTATAGTATATTAAATTAGGGCCAAGATAATTATCATAAATGAGCAAGGGTTGACCCATTGGTGCCTCCAAAAGTGGAAGATGGAGAGTTCGAGTCTGCATAGGGGTAAAGTGGATTTGTGTTATTTGCCAAGATAATATATATAGAGAGAGAGAGATGAGAAATAATTTAGTTTCAAGAGACCAATAAGTTCGACTCATAAAATCTATAAATTATACAAACACGTCAAGGTCAAGTTGCACAGATTGAAAACTTACAGGGAAAAAAAATGATCAGATTGAAATAAACTAGTGAACCAACCCCATGATTTCAGTTTGGCATGCTAATAAGTCTATATTACAAAGTGTATAAGATAAATCAAAGTCATTCTATTAAATTCTGTAAACCAAGAAATTGGCAAAATCAGAAGGCTAACTCTCAAATAAAAGAGACATATGGAGAGAGGGAAAAAATATCGCAATTTGCCCATTCTATTTTAGCCTTTCATGTCCATGTAAGACACACTAACACATTGATGCGAAACAGAAAGCACAATATTCTTGCCACAATCCATTGTTTGAAGGTTATTGGTGCCACTGCAAAATAAGATTTTGGAAATTGTAGGATAGATTGGATAAGCATACCAAATCTGCAATATTGCCAACGCATTCTCCTTTAGCAGTAACATCGCCAATGTTTTCTCCTTTAGCGAAAGCTTTGTATATTGGAGTACGAGTAGATGTTGATGTGACTGCACCAACATTCTACAAGTAAATGTAGAAGAATCAAAAGCAATAGAGCTAACTCAACCACATAATACTGAGGCAGAAAAAATAAATAAATAAATAACCCACACCCACACCCACAATACTGTAATACGGGAGAAAAAGAAGAGGAAAAGAAATTCAAACCTTAGCAACATTGGCAGCACAAGCTAAAGGCAGAAAAAGGTGTGGCACTGCTGCAGTTGCCAATTCTACCCCAGCACCCAGCTCCATCAGAATATCCCCCGCAAACCGAAGCTAAAATGCATCACAGGTATCAGGAATCAAGACTATGTCCAGAGAAAATTTTCACAAAACTATATATATATTTGATACTAATTTTACCTGTTTCAGATCATAATCGAATTTCCTCCCTTGCCGAGAAAAAAGCATTTTCCCAACCCGGCCTGCACCATCCTACACATAGATCATATAATTTGCTTCCATTCATGGAATACTAAATCTCCAGTAATATCTCTAATACACTAGATGGGAGCTCTAAAGACAAGAGTGGTAAAGCCAGATGGAGCAAAGAGTATGATATGGCAGTAAAGAACATAATTGATTTAGCAGTAAATTCGCTAAAGAACTCGATGTATTAACCTTTTGTAGGTTAATGCCAAAATCACATAATCACCAGTAGATCAAAGCTGTGTTTCAATTTTTCTAAACACTCCAACTTTGCTTGGGCTTTCCCTGGTTCATTTGAAGTTCTGCTTTCAGCCTTATCAAATAGTTGCTTTGGAATATGTCGCCAAGTGCTACCTTGTGCCGGATTTGGCAGAAAGAAAATGCTAACTCTATATGTTTCATGTTTGTGGGGTGGAAGAGAGATTAAAGAACAGCTCGTCTCGTCAAGCTCCCCTCTTCATTTCCATTCATATGTTCTAAAAAGAGGAAAGCTTATACTGGTACCTTCATATAGGCAACAGGCAACAGGGAAGAGGATGAAGAGGTGTTCAAGCTCAAACCTTAGCATTAGTTTTATTACCAATATGCCTTGCTGTTTATAGTTAGGGATCTATTTTGATTACTTAACAGTTAATACTCTTTCCAGTTTCACTTTTTGCTTTAAGCACTCATGGCACTTCTTTGTGGCTGCTAGGATTCTTAACCTAAAACCAAATTCCATTTTTTATAAAATCTCATCACTACAAGAAAAAATAAGCATCCTCCATCTTCACACAATTAAATTAATCTGGAAAACAACTACCAAAAATTTGACTTACAAATATTTCCAAGTTAAATAGGAAAAATAGACAATCTAAAAGGAGTAACCGTCATAAAACCTAAATTTCTAATTATGAACTCTTTTATATAGATTATCTAACCAAAAAGAGTCAAACATTCAAAGATAAAGTACAGGATATCATGGAAATGCCAAAAACGAATATAATAGTGGCTTGACTACCTTGTAGTTCCATGTTAAGGCATATAATTCTATCAAGCAATATCAACACCCTGCCAGTATAATAATTCTACAAAGGCGATGTTACTCTGTAAATTTAGCAACTTCATTCAGAGACACCAATCCCATCTTGCGATCAAGAAATACAAAAAACTATCACTAACAATCAATCACTTGTTTTAAGTAAGGATAGTCGCTCAGTCAAACTACGCACGCATGGCAAATACCTTAAGAATCCAGTTGACGGCTACAGCACCTTGAGTTGCTGTGTTTCTGGATACTCCAACTGAACTCAACAGCGTTTGTGTTGTGAAAACACCCATAGCTCCACCGAAGAAGTGCTATGATAAAGATGTAATCAAAATTATAGCAATTAACGGCACAAAGACAACAAAGAAATACAAACATATATTACATTATCACATTAAATTACAATATAATTATTCACAGTGAGTAGTTTTAAATCACTTAATAAACAACAGTGTTGGCAATGTAGTTCTAGAAAAATACCTTTAGAGCCCTCCATGTCATGTATGGCACGTATGAAGGGCTAACACTATCAGGGAAACCTTCTGGCACTACATAGGATCTTATAAATGACATCAACTCCTGCACCACAGATTCATTACAAACAACAGTGCAATTTCAAAAGCTCAGTATAATAACAAATTAACAATACTTTAGTTATAGGTATGTGTATGCATTTATATACATATAGTGAGGCAATCAAGAGGTCTAATTCATGACAAGAGAAGAGTTCTAAAACTGTTATGAAATTCGTGAATGGAAAGACAATATCAAAGCAATTTTTTTATGACTTTCTCAATAAGAGCTCATGGCTTGTCACTAGACAAACCTCTTGATAGCATTTTCTGTGTGTCTTTCTCTATCAACGTGCTTTGTGAAAATGTGTCCATCTGAAAACAATTAACTTAAAATACACTGAATAATAAACTTTTCTTTTTCTTTTCTCAAATATTTCAACTATTGTAATTGTTGTTGTTTTCAATATGATAAAGTGACATAATAATAGGAAATGGAACTCAAAAATAGGTTATTGGGGATGTTTAGCAATTGTGAACTAAAATCAATGTAAATAATATAATGCAACATTACAAGCACAAATGAACAATCAATTACTTCGAAACATATTAGGCATAAAGTAAAACAAGTGTATAACCTATCTATATTCAAGCAGTTGGTAAAACACATATACTTAAAATCAAATATAAGAATATATATTATAGATATATGCAATATAGAAAGGTGAACAAACTGACATCAACGGGAGCCTGGGGTGTCTGTAAACTGACAGCACGGATCGATCCCTTCTTGAATTGCATAGAACCGCCGGTCTCAGCAAAGTATTTCCAGCGGCGACCATCGAGCTCTTCGCAGCAAATCAATCTCAAGCTCGAATCAACAAATTGTTCATCAAGCAGTCCCGAGCTCGCCTCACGCCTCAATCCACCACTCTCCGCCGCTACCGTCGACGGCGGAGGCGAGGACGCGAGGTTGGCGCTGATCCGGAGAGTCTCGCGTACGAGAAGGCGAGCATCTTGAGAGGTATTGGCGGTGAGGGTTTGAGAGGCCGAGTTTGAAGATTGTTTGATTTTCATTGTAGAGATTGGAGGAGAGAGAGTATGAGATTTGTGAATTGTTGGGGCAATGAGATAGAGAAGGTGGTGGTGGTGGGGGGTTATTGGGGGAGTGAAGGCTTGGGTGTTGAAGGCGGAGGAGAGAGAGGCGTGTTTACACGCCGTGGCAAGGAACAGAAAGGCCGACAGGCAGGTTGCCAACAAGTGGCAACGGAGCTAAAAAGGTTTGAGAGAGAGAAAGAGAGTTTACTTTACAGCCGCTCTCTCTAACGAGGAGAGAGAGAAGGGAGGACACGTGGATCTGACGTGGTGACATGAAGTTTGTACGAGATATTTAGATGGAATATGTGAGGTTCAGAAAATAATAAATTTTTTTGAGAAATTTTTTTGTTTTTTTTTTGGAATTTCAATTTTACTAGTAAAATATTTGGCTTTCAATTAAAACCCATTGTCCTCCGTTAATCCGTATGAATGGACTAGGCCGTTTGAATTAGCTCTTTAATTTTATTTTTGTTTATGTCATTTCCTCTAGTATAGCTTTTAAATTTTTTTTTTATAATCTCATTTTATATTATTTTTGCACATTATGCGGGGATACACTTAGGCTCAGTTTGGTAGGGTGGGTTTAAAGGGAAAGTGAAGGGAAGGTGATGGAGGGTTATAAAAAAATTGTGTTTGGGTAAAGTGAGTGGAGGGAAAGGGAAGGAGAGAAAAGGGTTTGGAAGGTTAACTTGTTCCTTGAACAGTGAATTTTTTAACATCCCAAAATTGGGTGGAAATGAAGGGAAAGGGAAGGAAAGGCTTGGTGTGTGATTTCAGATGCCAATTTTGCCCTTGATTAGTTGATGTAGCAGTTGCAGAGAGAGATAGGGACGGCGAACAGCGAACCGGAATTGGAACAGCGGCTATGGAAACTGATATGGGTTTTGATTCTTTGAACAATCTGAAATTGGGTTTTGATTTTTTGAACAATCTGGGTTTTGTAGTAGTTTGTAGTTGCAGAGAGAGAGAAGTTCGGCTTTGTAGTTGCAGAGAGAGAGAGAGAAAGGGGTTCGGTGTTGAGAACGAGAACAGAGATGGATTGAACAATCTGAAATTGGGTTTTGATTTTTTGAACAATCTGAGTTTTGAAGTTTTGATTCTTTGAACAATCTGGGTTTTGATTTTTTGAACAATCTGGGTTTTGTAGTAGTTTGTAGTTGGAGAGAGAGAGAAAAGTTCGGCTTTTGTAGTTTGTAGTTGCAGAGAAAGACAGAGAGAGAAGTTCGGCTTTGTAGTTGCAGAGAGAGAAAGAGAGAGGGGGGTTCGGCGTTGAGAACGAGAACAGAGATAGAACGAATATATACATCTATAGCTATCTCTCTCTCTCTCTATATATATATATATATATATATATTTTTTTTTTTAATATAAAAGGGCATAATAGTAAATTTATAAAAATAATTGTCCTTCATATCATTACCTTTCTTTCCCAAACATGATTATTATCCTTCCCTTTATTTTTCTTCTTTAATCAACCAACACACAATACCAAATTAAAATTATCCTTCCCTTTCATTTCTTTCCCTTTCCTTCATAACTAATGTTATCCTTCCCCTTCAAACCCACCCTACCAAATATAGCCTTAATTTTCTTTCACATTCTCATTAGCGTTGGTCTGCTGTAGTCATTCCACTTCACTCCACTCAACTCAACTCAACTCAACTCAACTCGTCCACCTTAATATTTTGGTACATGAAGGTGGTGTTTTTGTCCTTTTTAGTGTCCAAAACTCTGCCCACACAACATAGCCGGTCTTATGACACATCTTTAAAAATTTAATTTTTGCCTCAATTTTGTGCAACTCGCATCAACTCTCCTAATTTAGTTACATCTTTATTTGTCTCTTCATCATTTTACTTATCATTCCTACTCTTCGAGATATATAAGAGATAAATTGTACATTGTTGTATTGATATATGATACATGAGGTTTATATAAATGTCGAGATATGTGAAGAGTAAAAAACGTAAATCTTATATGATAAACCTAAATATGGTAATGTATTACACAATATAATAATAATATATTTTATAATACATTTTAAAGTAATTTATAAGATACAGAGAAACTTTATGGTAAAACATAAATTACAATATATCAGTTAACTACTCTAATTAATTTAGAAAAATTTACATAAATATATTAAGAAATACACTCCCCTCAAGGAGCATAATATCTATCATGCCCAACAAATGTCATTCCTGAAACTGCCTTAGAATCAGACCAATATCGTCATTTGATACGTTTGAAAATCACACTAGTCATCTTCTGATCAGGTTATAATTTATCCAAAATGGTCACAGAATCACACATGGTCTGAAACTGTCTTTTAGACAAAACTAACCCAGCAAAGTTTAGACATTTACCTTAATTGAAAATTTTTATTGTTTCCCATCCAAGGAAGACCTTGAAGGTTGTAAGTATTTGAGTGGGAGAGGATGTATAATTGTAAGTATTTGAGTGGGAGAGGATGTATAATTGTAAGTATTCATTACTATTCAATGCTTTTCAAGTACTTGAAACTTGAAGGTTGTATTTGTAATTTGCCACAAAACTCGAGTTCATACGAGCGCTTGGAAGGCCGACTGCCTGATTGCCCAGTTTCGCTGTGTTCATTGTTCTTTATTATACACACACATACACACACATAGATGCACACGGAGCAACATATATTCTGAATTCGAAGAAGAAGAAGAAGAAATGTCTGCGATATTCAGATGGAAGACAAAACTCAGACACATTACCTGCAGTATTACATCCATGTCCCTATCAAAAACCTCTTCTTCTCTCTACCATTTGTCAGTTAAACCACCACTCACACTCTTACCCTACTCGCACAGTCACCGCCAATCGATTCTAGGGCTAGGGTTTCAGGAGAGGCACAAATGGGATGGAAGTTCCGACGAGTACGATCACATTCGCGCCGAAGTGAACTGCCCTCGGTGTTCCAAGCTCATGAACGTCCTCTTCTCGAACCGTCCGTTGTCAATCACTGGTGGAGAGACGGGTATATACCAAGCCCTCAATCTCTGCCCTAATTGCAGGACCGCCTTCTATTTCAGGCCGTTGAAGTTGGTTCCGTTGCAGGGGAGTTTCATAGAGATTGGTAGGGTTAAAGGGAAGGAGGAAGATGGAAATGTTTGCACAGATGGTGACGAAAATAGGAAAATAGGAGCCAAGATTAGGGAGAAATTGAGGTCGTACGGTAGGGATACGGTGGAGGATTTCCCAACGCCCGCGAGTCCAATTGGGGCTGAGATGCGCACGCCGGTGGCGTCGGATGCTGTGGTGCGGACGGGGAGTGGTGGGTCGGGTGGTAGTGGTGGTGATGGGTGTTCTAGAGAGAGAAATGGTTGGGGCGGGTCGAATATGGGGAAGGACTTACCCACTCCGAAGGAGATATGCAAGGGACTCGATGAGTTTGTCATTGGGCAAGAAAGAGCTAAAAAGGTTTGAATTTCGCTTCATTAATGGTGAATTTTTGTAATTTTTTTGACAAGAACAGGATGACGGGTTTGAGGAATGCAATTATTGCACAAATTTTGATTTAATCTTGTTAAATCCTACTCAAGATTTTGATTGAAATGGTGTCATTTCTCCAATGGAGAGAGGTTCAAATTTTTGTAACTTAACGAAGATATTGTAGTTCAATTCTAATTAAGATGTGAGCGTTTTATTGCACACATTGTAGTTAGAAGTTAATTGCATGCTGTTTATTGATATGCATTTCTACAATGAACCAGGGCTATTCTAAGATTATAATTCCTTATGTCTTTCTTTGTATCTCTGGAATTTTCATTAATAATTGTGCAAATGGAGTTTAGTTTGTCATTGATTATTGTATTTGTGCATTTCTTAGAGTTTCAGAATTTTTGGTTGAAACAATTTGCTTTCCATGGCAGGTGCTTTCTGTGGCAGTTTACAACCACTACAAAAGAATACATCATGCTGCCTTGCATAAAGAGTGAGTTCCCAATGGGTGTTTCAGCCAATTTTAGGTGCAGTTGTTATTACGATTGAATATAGATATAAACTTCCTATTAAAATTAGAGAAGTGGTATCGAATTAGTACCAAAACGGCAAAACCAATGCTATAAAATGATTTTTTATGTTTGTTTTTTGTTTTTGTTTTTTGTGTTCAATATAAAGTATAAACCTTTTTATTAAAATTAGAAATTAGGTACCGAATAGTTGGTACCAAGTTTTTTATTTATGTACATTACTTGTTAAACATTTCATTTCCAAGTACTTGATATTTTTGCATGATATTTCCTGACTAAAAGTTATTGTATAAGTTTAACCATGTTTATGATGCATCGTATGATAACAATACACAGTATGAAAAATGCAAGAAAAAGACATTTAACTGAACATATGATTTATGAACTATGCCTCTACATTTTAATTTTGTGGTTCATACTAATTACTCTCTTTTTTGTTCCTTAGTCGATAGTGCATTCAAAGTGATTGATATACGTGGTTGTGACTACCACTGTTGATTTCAATACCAGGTCAGGTGCCGAATTTTGCAAGGCTGATGTTGAAAATGATGATAATGATTTTGTTGAGCTAGAAAAGAGCAATGTGCTGCTGATGGGTCCAACAGGCTCAGGTATGATGGGTTAATTTCTAATTACACACGATTGTTGTTGAATGTAGTGCAAAAGCTTTGTCTTGCATTCGAATTACAATTCACCATTTCTTGTGGCTGTACTGTGAGATCCAGCTATGCATGTAAGGACTTTTATTCTGACTCATACATTTTAACTTCTACTGCAAGGACAGGGAAGACATTACTCGCCAAAACACTAGCTCGCGTGGTTAATGTGCCTTTTGTTATTGCAGATGCAACGGCATTAACACAGGCAGGTTTGAGCTAGTTAGTGCTTTACAATATTTATGATTCACAGGTTTATTCTATTGGTTCTCTACTTTTGTTCTATGTTGAAAGAGATGCCTTTTAGTGTTGTATTAGTTCTTGCTATCAATATATCAGAAAGGTGATGGAAATATTGATAATTTTGAACTGCAACTGAGAAGTGAGGACCGGGACTGTTTACATAGATCTAAAGTACTGGTACACATGGCTCATTTTAGTCCGGTTAGTGCTATCAAACCTAAAATTGTATCACCCAGGTAGTTCTCACGGTGACAACCCAAAACAAATACCAGACAAAAGGATTGAGAAGTATAATAATACTAAGACCTGTAAACTTGGTTTGTTCGGTTCATTTCTCCATTCTCAAGTTGATATGAAAATTTCAAAAGATCATCTATATCAACCGCCATAGTGACTAAATACAGTGAGCTTAACTCCATTAAGTAACCCAATTTTCAGGGTGTAGTCCATCTAGATAAGTGTCCCAATGTGTTCGTGTATGAGAGACAGGGTTAGGCACGTTTTATGGAAGAAGAAATGTATATCTATATATTTAGAACATTATTTGTCATTCTTTTTAATAACACTCCATTTTTTTCTTAGTGTGGTTTGGGTGTCCTCATCGACCCTCGAGTTTACTGAGATAACAATCCTTTTTCTTTTAGATTTTCTAAGAACCTTACTTTTTATTTTTATGTTTTTTTATATTAAAATGCATTGTCCTATTCCACTTATATTGGTTTTTTATTATAAATCTCGTACTGATTCTTTTAACATCTTATTTTCAAATAATTCTTACTTTCTTCGTTCTAAAAACTGGTACCTAGTTCTTGGATTTCGAACCTCTTTTCTTTTTCTTGATTGTGCTTTCTTATATACACCTCTAATATAGTATGCTTTTGGTTCATGTCAAGCATCTATTGGAATAACCTTAAAAAGTTGTGTTAGTTGATCTACTAATTCGGAAAATATCAATCTAGTTTTGTTCAATCCACTTTTTTTTTTTTGATAAGTAAAATGTATAAAAGGCGTTCAAAAGGGGAACGCGTCCCAAGCTATACAAAAAACTGAAACTATGATCTCAAGGAACCCACAAAGTCCACAATATCCTCAATGGAGGAACAATCCCTCCCCCAACCCCAACAAAAAAGAGTACAAATAATAGAGAATTTCAACCCCCAATGGAGGCCTCCTTCCCATCAAAAGATCTTCTATTCCGCTCTTTCCAAATGCTCCACCAAACACAAAAGGGGGTTACCCTCCGGAAGACTCTCGCCTGAGCTCCCACCCATTGGCCCCTCTAAATATCCAGCAAATCCCGAGATGTCCGAGGCATAACCCAATGAATACCAAACAAATCAAAAATGAGACTCCAACAATCATGAGCCACAGGACAATGCAGCAACAGGTGATCCACTGACTCCCCATTCAACTTACAAAGACCCCACCGATTAACAATAATATGTCTTCGTTTCCTCAAGTTATCCAAAGTCAAAATCTTGCTCCAAGTTACAGTCCACATGAAAAAGGCCACCCTAAGAGGCGCCTTAGACAACCACACTGTCTTCCACGGGAAGGAAGCGCCAGGAAAACTAGAAAGGCATACAAAAAAAGACCGGACCTGGAACATCCCCTGAGAAGAGTGCACCCAAAACAGGGAGTGAACACCGGTGCCCTCCACCTCCTGTCTATACAAGAGAGCCAACAAGCCAGTGACATCATCCAACTCCCAATCCTGAAAAGATCGCCGGAATCGCACATCCCAAGATAACCTCCCGCTATCAAGGCGATAGCAGTTAGCAACCATAGTATGTTTGTCAACAGCAATCCTGAACAGCGTTGGAAACAAAAGAGCCAGAGGCTTATCCGTGCACCAGGGATCCTCCCAAAACCGGACAAACCTTCCATCCCGAACTTTGAATCTAACATGTTTGGAAAACTCGTCCCATCCTTTTCCAATGGCCCTCCACACCCCTACTCCACTAGCAGACCTGACTGGCCTAGCTGACCACCCCCCTCTCTCCTCCCTAAAGCGACAGGAAATAACCCTTCTCCATAATCTATGCCTTTCACTGCCGAATCTCCAAAGCCACTTACCAAGGAGAGCACTGTTAAAGGGGGCCAATCTCCTAATCCCAAGTCCGCCCAACTGAAGAGGCCTGCGCACCTGCTCCCACCTGACAAGATGATACTTAAACTCCTCTCCACGACCCTCCCAAAGGAAGTTACGTTGCAACATCTCCAGACGGCCAACAACCGAGGCTGGAACCCGAAAGAGCGAAAGAAAATACGTTGGAAGGCTTGACAAGACGCTTTTCACTAGCGTAACTTTACCACCCTTGGAGAGATATTGCTTTTTCCAACCAGCTAATCTTCTTTCAACCCCAACTTCCCACCCTCTTGGCCGAGTCCCCCAGCGGCAAATCCAAATACGAGATAGGGAAACGTTGTGTCCCACACCCTAAAGCAGCGGCCAGAGTATCCACCTCCTGAACCTCCCCCACAGGGACAAGCACACTCTTGCCCACGTTGACTTTCAAAACAGAGACAGCCTGAAAGCAAACTAAGACACATCTCAGATACCTCAACTGGGACACCTCTGCCTCACAAAAAACAACAGTGTCATCCGCAAAGAGCAAGTGAGAAATCTCCATTTGCTGAACGGGGTCGGGACCGTTCTTGAAACCCCTGATAAAACCCAAATCCACCGCCCTTCTCATCAACCTACTAAGAGCCTCCATAACAATAATAAAAAGGAACGGGGAGAGAGGGTCCCCCTGCCTCAGACCGCGAGAGCTACCGAAGAACCCCGCGGGGGACCCATTCACCAACACCGAAAACCTGACAGTGGAAACACATGAAACAATCCATTTCCTCCATCTTTCACCAAATCCCATCCTCTCCAACAGGAAAATAGAAAATTTCAGCAGACATGATCATAAGCTTTCTCGATATCCAGCTTACAAAGAACCCCAGGAGCCCCACTACACAACCGAGAATCCACACATTCACTGGCAATAAGAGCAGAATCCAGGATCTGTCTACCCCCAATAAAAGCATTCTGGGACTCAGAAATAACTCCATCCAAGACCTCCCTCAAACGGAAAGTAAGGACTTTTGCGATGAGCTTGTAAATGCATCCAATCAAACTGATTGGTCGAAAATCCTTAATGTGAGAAGCACCAACCTTCTTAGGAATAAGAGCAATAAAAGATGCGTTCACTTTAAAAGTTATAAATTCTCATCTCTCTTTCCAAAAATAGATATCCACTATATATACGATTTCAATTTTTAGTTTTGTTCAGGTACCTAGATTTGAACCACTTGTGGTTGTTTTCCTAATTTCACATTTGACCAAAGCGATCTCATAGGAGAACCAGACTGAAGTCACTGAACCGAACCATGGGCAGGTTTACTAATGAATATGCAACCTTGATTTTAGGTTGAGGTTGTGGCATTAGGTTACCATTGAACCATGGGCAGGTTTACTAGTGAATATGCAACCTTAATTTTAGGTTGAGGTTGTGGCATTAGGTTACCAATAAAACCAAAGAGACAATTTGTTTAGTGACTTCAGTCTGGTTCTCCTATGAGATCGCTTAGGTCAAGTGTGAAATTAGGAAAACAACCACGAGTGGTTCAAATCTAGGTCGGACAGTTGGTTTACCCGAACAAAACTGAAAATTGAAATCATATATATAGTGGATATCTATTTTTGGGCAGGTTTACTAGTGAATATGCAACCTTAATTTTAGGTTGAGGTTGTGGCATTAGATTACCATTAAAACCAAAGAGACAATTTGGGAAAAACTAAGTTTATACAATTAAAACCAAAGAAACAATTTGCGAAAAACTAAGTTTATGACTTGGTTAATAATTAATAGTGATATTTTGATTGCATGCTTAAATGAGTTGACCTTGAAAACGAGGTGCAAGATTGATTGGTTGGTTAGCTGAGTGATTGACCCCGTATGCTCGTCCTAATGTGAACCTTGGGCTTACCTCTTGATTACTTAACCTGGGTTGATCTAAGGTGTATTGTCCTGTTTGGATATGGTAAGGGGTTGGGCTGTTTTTTTAATTTAATTAGTGAAAAATATATTAGAAAAACGTTCAAAAGGGGAACGCGTCCCTAATACACAAAAACGAAAGAACAAAAGCCAAACCTACAGACCAATAGAGTCCAATAGAACAAAAAAATCATCAATCGAGGAGCAAGCGCTGCCTCTAACATAACAAAAAAGAGAGCGAAGAATAAGAGACTTAAGGTTTGCAAGAGACGATTCCTTTCCTTCAAAATTTCTGTTATTTCTCTCTCTCCAAATACACCACCAAACATATTGTGGGGCAACCTTCCAAAAATCACAAGCATGACCAGTAATAGGGCATCTTCTCCAAGCGTTAATTAATTGGAAAGAGTGTTTAGGCATTACCCACTAAACTCCAAAAATACTAAATATGAGATTCCAACAATCAGATGCAACAGGACAATGCATAAGAAGATGGTCCACGGACTCACCATCAGTTTTACAGAGACAGTACCATTTAACAATGGTATTACCTCTCTTACGCAGATTATCAAGGATTTTAGACCCATTAGTCTGATCGGGTGCATTTACAAGATCATTGCAAAAGTCCTTGCCTTTATATTGAGGGAGGTCCTGGATGGAGTTTTCTCTGAGTCTCAGAATGCTTTCGTTGGGGGTAGACAGATTCTGGATTCCGCTCTTATTGCTAGCGAATGTGTGGATTCTAGACTTCGTAGTGGGACTCCTGGTGTTCTGTGCAAGTTGGATATTGAGAAAGCTTATGATCATGTTTGCTGGAATTTCCTGTTCTATCTGTTGGAGAGGATGGGTTTTGGTGAGAGATGGAGGAAGTGGATTGTTTCTTGTGTTTCCACTGTCAGGTTTTCGGTGTTGGTGAATGGCTCTCCTTCGGGGTTCTTTGGCAGTTCTCGTGGGTTGAGACAGGGGGATCCTATCTCCCC